GGTCATCTGAGACACATCTAGGCAATTTGGTTTCTGGATGCAGTTTTTGTGCATTTTGAGACCTTTTTCAGGCGATGTTTTGTTAGAAAGCTACTATTTGGTTCAAAAATAATATCAGATTTGGAATCAGCGTTAAAAACTGAGTCGATTTATATATGCTGTGAATAATTTTGAGAAAAATATTTTTTTTAAAAAAAAATCCCTGTACCCCTCTCAGGGATGGTCTGGTCAATAATGACAATTTTTTCGATAACTCAGCCATTTCGTGACGGATCCTTCTCATCTTCGAACTCGACCGAGACATTGTTATGACTGAACCGTGTAGAAAATTTCATCATGATCTGACTCTCCTTTCGAAAGTTATCGTGTAAACGGCCGGCCGGACATACTGACCGATTCTAGAGTGTACTCACTTTTTGAGTACACAAAAATGACCATATATTATGTCATCTGTTGCTAAGAGCGGTGTCGTTCCTTTCATCTCTCTCTCTCTATCATTCTCTCTAGTCTGTCTAGGAATGTTAAATCTTGTGCTGGTGATGAACTTTGAGTGATCACACGTGGTGGAATAGATATACGAGAGATAGCAACTTGTTGTGGTAAAATAAGAGAAGCAGCAGCGATAGTTTGCTGACCGTATTTTATGAGTAGTTCACGTAAAGCTGTGGTCGCTTCAGGAATGTAAATATCTGTTCGAAGAAACTGTAAACATTTAGGTTTTTCTTCTTCAGTTTTATCATGTTTCATAGAAGTAAAATTTATGTCTAATAAATTCTTAGGAGTTGAAGACTTTCTAGTTGGCTGGTGCCATTCTTGCAATCTTTGCGTACAAGATTCATAAAGTTTTTTTTCATGGTAATCTAGTAAAGCCAAGCATAGAGCTGCAAGATGTTTACATGCTGCTCGTTCACCTTTTCCAGCCACACGTTGACATGAAGCTTGTAATATGCCAGCTGGACGATTAATCTTTATTATCATATTCAACTACAACAAAAATTTCAAGCATAAAAACTATAAATGTAAATGCTTACTTCATAGGTGATGGACTTCTTCATTTCAGCTCTGCATTTCGCTGATATAATTCTTTTAATATAATCCCGAGGTATAGTAATATTGTGTACAAAATGATTTTTAAATAAAAGACTTCCATGTCTTAATGCTCCTCGATCCACATTTCCATCACTAGCTAATACTGATGAAAAGTATTCAGTGATTGAGCCAAAATCAATATTAAATGGTGTTTTATAATCAACAATAGAAACTGTGTGTGATGGTGATGACATTTTCATTAAATGTTAAGAATAAGAAAATAAAACTAAAACATGCCTCTTTTTTCTTTCTATTGCTACTAATTAATACACTAAACAAGATTATGAGATAAAACGCCAACACATGTGTGTCGCTAATTAGCTTACAAATAACACTGTCATCTTTTTTCTTTAATGAATAGATCACATTATTCATCAACATTATCGTACTGATGAGATTTTATTATTGTTCTGAAATTTGAAGTTAGAGGGTGGGTGTGGGTGTGGGTGGGTGTGGGTGTGGGTGTGGGAGTGGGTGTGGGTATGGGTGTGGG